GTACAACACGTTCTGATGGTTCTACAACATGTTCAGATGATACAACATGTTCTGATTGTACAACACGTTCTGATGGTACAACATGTTCTGATGGTACAACATGCTGTGATGATTCCACACACATTCTGCTCCCTGTGTGGAGGGATCCAGCAGTAGAACCAGCTGTGTGTGAATGGATGGAGGCTCCTGTTTGAATGAAAGAGTCGCTTTGTTTGTTTTGCAGCAGACAGTTGGTTCTTATGTAATGTCCATTTGGCGGGAACAGTCCACAGCAGGAGCGTGCTCAGGGGGAGGCGGGAAATAAAAACACCTAAAAACACCCACATGGGGATTATGGTTCGTATTTTGTCTTTTGAAATTTCCAACATTGCTTTTTAGTTTTTTTCTATTTCATATAAGTCTGCGTGGCTGTTTGTTGCGGGGCTCTCGTGTGGTCACGCACTTTATTTTGGTTTCGGAAACCCCCCCCCTCTCTCGCAGGGATCATGGTACAGTCCAGGTCGCGTCATCCATTGTTTACAAATGAGCGGTGGTTGTTGGGAGCGGAGCAGCAGCGTGGAGGCAGCGAGCAGCGGCCCGGGGCTCAGTCAGCCCGGATTCAAACCTCCAGTCAGCCCGGATTCAAACCTTCAACCAGCCCGGATTCAAACCTTCAACCAGCGCGGAACATCCAGCCCACTCTACCATCGCACCACCCGGTCTGAACACGATGCCCTGCCGGAAGGAGAACTACATCTTTCTGGAGCAGTCGGTCACCGTCGACTCTAAAGAGGTGGACGCGCTGGTGACGAAAATCGGCGAAGCTCTGCAGCTCCACAACAACAGCGGCGGCCACCAGAAGACGGTGTCCGTGTCCATGTCCTGCCTGCACGGCCTCACCGGCGGCGGCGGCGGCGGGGCCAAGCCGGCGGCGATCCTCGGCGGCAGCACCGCGGCTCCGGCGCAGAAACGCGGCGGCTGCTGCATGCGGCTCCGGAGCCGCGGACACCGGGGGAGCAGCAGGGCGAGCCCGTACAACATCCCCGGGTCTAACGGCGACCAGGAGTGGGACCAGATCAGACCGTGGAACAGAAAGAGAGTCGGCGCGGAGGAGGACGACCCGCACCGGCTCCTGCAGGAGTTAATTCTATCGGGGAACCTGATAAAAGAGGCCGTGAGGCGGCTGCAGTTCTCCGCCGCAGACTGTGCAGATTTCCCGCAGGTGGCGGACAACGTGCCGTGCTGATGCCGGGACGGGACCGACCGTCCGGCGGCCGAGCAGCCGCACTGAGACTGGACACACACGGACCGTTGGACCGTGACTCCACAGGACTGGTAGCTTCGTTTATTAATTTCATCAGTTTGTCCGAAATGTTTGTTACGATGCGTTGGCTAGCAGTTAGCCTAGCTGACCTGCTAGCCACTCGGCTAATGAGCCGTGACGTTTAAGTTAAATGTTTCATTGTGGGTCGGACCTTCAGTGTGTGTGTGTGTGTGCTAGCAGGCTAACGCTAGCCCCTCGTCACATGGAGTCGTGTGATTCTGAACAATGGTTTTTCTTCTCCGCTCGTTGGTTGATGGCGTCACAGGAAGTGGGAGCTTCCTCGTTGTTTTTATTTACCTCTTCATCCCGGAGCTGCCTCGTGGGTTCAGTCTGACACGGGGGGGGGGGG